AAAAAAAAAAAAAAAGGTCCTAAGATGAATAGTTCTCCAAATTTAATCCTCCCTTGCTTCCTCATTCTTTTACTCACCATACCAACCCAATCCCAAACTATCCCCAATCCCAAGCCTGATTCAAACTTACCCCCAAAACCAACCCCAAATTCAGCCTCAATTTCTCAACACCCAAAACTCGAGCCGGACTCGAATTCCGTTTCACCTCACCCGAAACTCGAGCCGCTTTCAAACTCAACTTCGCCAAACTCGGAACCAACACACGGTTCGAACACAATCTCACCGAACACAAAACCGCCGATCGATTCACCCGCGAAGCCAGCACCGGATTCAAACTCAACTCCACCACACAAAAGTAATGCCACGTCACCACACGAGAAACCAACGACAGACTCACACACGAAGCCAGCACCGGATTCAAACGCAACTTCACCAAACAAAAGTAATGCCACGTCACCACACGAGAAACCAACGACAGACTCACACACGAAGCCAGCACCCGATTCAAACGCAACTTCACCAAACAAAAGTAATGCCATGTCACCACATGAGAAACCAACGACAGACTCGCGGAAGAAGCCAGCACCAGATTCAAAACCAAAACCCGCGCCCAAAGTACCTCCAAAACCGAAGAATGTCACGTCACCCTACCAATTCGTTAACCGCTTCTGCCTGTCACGGAGGCTGGACGTGAAGGCCACTTTCTGCCTGCAGGTCCTCCGGTCGAGCGCCGCCAGCACCAAGGCGCAGGACAACCGGGCGCTCCTCGCCATCTCCGCCGATGCCGCCATTAAGTTCGGGCGCCAGAACATTGCTATCCTGAAGAAGCTCTCGGCTGGCCGGAAGTCGGACCTGAAGGCGGCGGTGGGGGAGTGCACGGAGGCCTATGATGGTTACATCAAGCAGTTCCACACGCTGGTGGAGGAGGCGGCGGTGGAGGCCCAGCTGGCGAGCTACGATTCAGAGCTGGCCAAGATGGAGATCGGACGCTGCGTGAGGGCTGCCAAGGAGGCGAAGAACGGCGAGATCGAGAAGGGGAATAAGGCGGCGCTGGATTACGCCAGCCTCGCGCAGAATATTGCAGATTCTATTGATTAATATTTGAATGAAAGTTGTCATGAGTTAGAATTAAATTTAAGTTTACGGGAAAACTAAATGAAGATTGTTTGTGGCGGTTATATTTGAATTTTTATGAATTGTTTTTTTAGGTGAATTATTATTACAATATAATGGATTTGGGGGTTGTTTATCTGATTTTCAAATATAATTTAGTATCTTAATGTGGTTATTTGATTATAGAGGTATAAATGAATTTGTGTAATATTTTATTGAGTTATATGAGGTAATTATTTTCGAAGACAACTCTGATATGGAGTTATCGGACAATTTATGGAACCATCAACAATTACCCACAAACAGTGTATTGGCACATTACATGTCTTATAAGACCGTCTCCAATCAAGACGGAAAACTAAAAAATTGCAATAGAGAACCCTCCAACCGACCTGCAAATCCTATCGCAAAATGCGATCTTCCTTGGACGCAATTTTGCGTCTGCCGAAAAATTATGCGTCTCAATTTTTTTTTTCATTTGAGTCCTTTTCTTTTTAATCTCTTTCTCTTCTTTCTTTTTTTATTTCATTTTAGTCCCTTTATTTAATTTAAATTATATGATAATTAAATAAATGAATATTACTTATACATTTATTTAAAATAATAGTAATAATGTAAAATAATAAGAAAATTAATTTCATAATAATTAGATAGTATTATATTTAAAATAATAAATATTATATCTACAATTTAATTTTATATATTTCACAATAATAATATAAATATGCATATTATTTATGGTATTTTTATTTAACAATAAAAGAAAACACTAGTATTAAATAACAACCATGATAGATCATGGTTTTCCAGAAAAACATTTCAATAACTAGTGCTGAAATAATAATACAACATCACACGGTACTAAAATAAAAATACATCATAAACCCAACAACTAAAAACAAGCACGAATACTTAGTAATCTGGCAAGTTGGCACCGCTTCCTCCATGATTATTGAAATATTGGCCAAATGCATTGGTTGGATATGGATCCGGTTGGGCTTGTTGAGCTATTTTCTCCAAGATTCGTGCCTTTTCAACTTCAATGTATGCTCGAACTCTAGGATCTTCAATGGAACTGACATCTTGAAACAAAATTTTATTTTCTTCTCTCATTTCTTTTAAAGCGTAAGATCTATTGCGCATCTCCATTGGTGTTTTATTTGGTCGTTTGCATTTTTCATCTCCTCAAGAAGGCTTTTGTTTGCTTCTTTCATCGCATTGATGAGCGATGATGAATCATCATTTACCTTTCTTTTTAGTTTGGCTTTCTTGACACCAATAGGTCTTTCAAATAAAGAACCAGTAGCAAATTGATCCGAGTGGCTTAAATTTATAGAAAATGAAGAAATACCTGCGGATTCTTGTCGGACAGACTCGGGAGTTGGATTTTCTGACTCTGAAGATGGATAACAACCAGACTGTTTTTTCTTGCTCCTCGAAGCGCCATCTTTAAAATTTTCAAAGTTTTTAATAATATCCAAACATGATCGTATTTCTATCCGGATTTGAATTTGGAATCTTCTTTGAATAACACTTTTGCTTTGAGCATCTACAATTTTTTTCATAAACAATTAACCATAGCTAATATAAATAATAGATTTAATAAATAAAAGATACAATAAGATTTTAGTACTCACTGTATCTTCATTTGATGCACCACTCTGATGCGTATCTTCTACTGCTTTGATGCATGCATGGAGTCTCTTGGCAGCTTTTTCGTTTATTTGAATTCGTGCTTGTATAGATCTCTTGCTACGAATCTCCCAATGCTCAAGCCGTCCTTCATTGAAAGCATTTTCTATACGGGACCAAAATCGATCAGATGATTGGTATACCCCAATAATTGGATCCTGAGAAATATCCATATAAACTTGACATAAAAGAACATCTTCATCATGGTTATAAGAAGATGAACGGATCGACATTTTTACAAGAAGTTAGTTGTGATAAAGCTTTAGTGTATAGAATAAAAATGTTGGGGTGTAGTCACTACAATACCATATCTTCTTCTATAGTGAAAGACCCTCTCCCCTCTCCATGGTTTAACCCGAAATGACCACTCTCTGCAGAAGTCCTCACATCTCCCAATGCTTTGACCCGAAAATGACCACTCTCTGCAAAGTTGATCACGCTTATCATTGTTCTGACCTGAAAATGACATACCACTATACTGTCCCCCACGTCTCTCAATGTTCTGACTAGAAAATGACATATCACGACAAAGTTGATCACGTTTATCCATGCTCTGACCCGAAAATGACATATCACTGCAATATCCCCCACCTCTCTGAATGCTTTTACCCGAAAATGGACACCCTCTGCAAAGTTGATCACACTTATCCATGTTCTGACCCGAAAATGACATATCACTACAAAGGTGATCACATTTATCCATGTTCTGACCCGAAAATGACATATCACTGCATTGTCCCCCTCGTCTCTCAATGTTCTGACCCGAAAATGACATCACTGCAAAGTTGATCACGTTTATCCATGTTCTGACCCGAAAATGACATATCACTGCAATGTCCCCTACCTCTCGCAATGCTTTTGACCCAAAAATGGACAACCTCTGCAAAATTGATCACACTTATCCATGTTCTGACCCGAAAATGACATATCACTGCAAAGTTGATCACATTTATCCATGTTCTGACTCGAAAATGACATATCACTGCATTGTCCCCCTCGTCTCTCAATGTTCTGACCCGAAAATGACATCACTGCAAAGTTGATCACGTTTATCCATGTTCTGACCTGAAAATGACATATCACTGCTAGGGGTGAGCGTGGGTCGGTACGGTTCGGAGATTGATAAATCTCCAGAACCGTACCAAACTTCGGAGATCCCAAAATTCGATCTCCGGAACCGTACCAAAAAGTCGGTTTGGTTCGGTTCGCAGATTTTTATTTTTCGGTTCGATTCGGTTCGGTATTCGGGATTATTGGGACGGTTCGGTTCGGTATGGTTTGGTTCGGATATTCGGAGATTTTTATTTTTTTTAAATTATTTTTGAATGACTACCTAGTTATATTTAATTTTTATATGCTTTAAAAAAAACATTCATCAATAATTCATCATATTGAAGATTTTATTTTGAAATCAATTCTAAAAGTAACTCTAAATTTTAGTTATTTAATTTTTATAAGCTTTAATAAAACCAACATGCATCAGTACTTCCTCACATTAAGATTTTATTCTGAAATCAACTTTATAAGTAACTCTAAATTTTAGTTATAACTAAATTTGTGCAACTAATATTAAAAATTTAAAATTCAAATAAAATATAATATTTTTTTTTTCTTAAAAAAATATTCTTTAAACTTTCATATTATTTTAAATAATTATTTAATAATAGAAAAAATTCAATTGTAGATCAAGTATTACTAAGCATGAAATTTAAGTGAAGGTTAATATTTATTACTATATTATATAGAATCAAAGTTGACATAAAATTCATGAATAACACATCTAATGTTATAATTCGGTTCTTAATTTCGGTTCTTCGGTTCGGTACAGTACGGGACGGTTCGGTTCGGTTCTCGGTACGAATATTTGTGAAATCTCCAGAACCGTACCAATTATTTTTAGGTCCGGTTCGGTTCGGAGAAAGTCAAACGGTCAACGGATATTTTTCGGTTCGGAGTGATTTCGGTTCGGTTTTCGGAACGGTTCGGAATTCTCTGAGTCCCATGCTCAGCCCTAATCACTGCAATGTCCACCACCTCTCTCAATGCTTTGACCCGAAAATGGACACCCTCTACAAAGTTGATCACACTTATCCATGTTCTGACCCGAAAATGATATATCACGACAATGTCCACCCTCTTAATTCTTTGACCCGAAAATGGACACTCTCTGCAAAGTTGATCACACTTATTCATGTTCTGACCCGAAAATGACATGTCACGATAAAGTTGATCACGCTTATCCATGTTCTGACCCGAAAATGGCATATCACTACAATGTCCCACACCTCTCTCAATGCTTTGGCTCGAAAATGGACACCCTCTGCAAAGTTGACCACACGTATTTATGTTCTGACCCGAAAATGACATATCACTGCAATGTCCACCACTCTCAATGCTTTGACCCGAAAATGGAAAGTCTCTGCAAAGTTGATCACGGGCGCGACGACCCCTCTGACCCAGAACCGAGAACAGAGGGAGGGAGACGGAACACAGCCACCCGACAACAACTCCACCAAGCAATCGAGCCACGTACCACCCCAAGAATCCGCACCAAAGCACCACCACCACACATCAGAGAAACCACCAACCTAGACTCATGAACCGACGCCGGAATTGACCAAATCCATCCGCGAAAGGCGAGGGCGAGCTCCTGAAAAACGGAGGGGTAAAGCACAAAAACAAAGGGACGGAGTAAGCGGCCAAGGCCGGCAACCACCAAGGAAGGCAGGGCTGCGCAATTCAGACGACTAGACGGTATTTTTGGGAACGAGGGTTTTTTTAGAGCGAGTACTTGCTTCTAATCCAAAACTTTGTCCTAATATTGTTTAAAGACCAAACATTTGCAAATTCTGTAACATTTGAATTACTTAAACTCAATATTGAGTTACATAAACTCAAGTTCCCCACATTTCAACAATAGATTTAATTTCTCATTCAAATCAGTACAAATTTTATATGGATGTGAAGTTGGATATGATGAAGGTTTATGATAGAATAGAATGGAATTGTAATGTGAAGGTATTACTGCAAATGGGATTTGATTCTGTATTAATATTTACTTGTATCTCTACTGCTTCTTATTCCTTCAACATAAATGGGAATGTCTGTGGTCTCACTCCTTCAAGAGGCATAAGGTAGGGGGACCCACTATCCCCCTACCTTTTTATAATTGTGTCAGAGATCTTGTCCAGACTGATTGAAAATGAAGTTAGATTGGGGAATTTGAAAGGGCTGCAAAAGACTAGGAATGGTACTGTATTGACACATCTACTGTTTGCAGATGATTCTCTGGTCTTTTGTGAGGCCAGTAGTGAACAAGCTATATGTCTGATGCAAATTTTGCAGAGGTACCAACTTTTTACAGGGCAAAGAGTCAATTTGGAGAAGTCTTATGTCTTCTTCAGTAAGATTACACCTTTGGGACTCCAGCAGGACATTTGTCAGATCATGCAATGTGTGTCTATTCACAGATCAACTAGGTACCTAAGCATGCCATGTGGAATTGGGAGATCTAAAGAGAGGCTTTCCAGTATGTCCTTGAGGCTGTCAAATGTAAAATCAATAACTGGAAGAACAAGTATTTATCCACAGCTAGGAAAGAATTGTTGGTAAAATCTGTTTTAAATGTCATGCCAGTCTTTATTATGTCCTGCTTCTGTCTTCTTAAGAGCCTGTGCAAAGAAATATCTCAACTCTGTTCAAAGTGTTGGTGGAGCTCAAGATATCAACATAAATCTGGTATTCATGGAAGGAGTGGACTAAGAGACAACTCCTAAACACTGGGGTGATCTAGGGTTTCAAGATATACATCTGTTCAATGGTGCCTTGATTTTGAAGCAGATATGGAGAATAGCTTCTAAGCCCAACCTACTTGTGGCTAAAATTCTTAAACAGAGATATTTTCCTAAAGTCAGCTTGTTTGAGGCCAAAAGAGCTCCAAGCTCTTCATGGATGTGGAATAACTGGATGAAGGTGATGCAGTCTTACCACCATTATTTCAGGAAGGAGGTAGCTGATGGAAAAAGTACCAGAATATGGTCTGACCCATGGATTCCAGGCTTGCCCACATGAGTGCCAACAAGAAGAACACAATGGGATATTTCTCTAACATGGGTGGCTGAATTGCTGAGACCAGGTGGCAGGAGCTGGATTTATGAGTTGGTGATGGACATAATTTTCTACGGCCAATGCATATGCCCAATTAATGATTAATAAGTTGTTGAGTTTTAACAGAGCTGAATGTAGTGATGCTGCTAAAACAGATAAAGTTGCTAGAGAGAGGTGTTGGCAAAGTTAAACACCTTCTGTGGAAATGCTTTTCTGACTCTCTGCCTACAGGTGTTAGCTTATTCAGAAGAGGGCTTACTCTGGATAACATATGTCAATCCTGTGGAGAAGCTCCTGAGACAACTGAACATATTTTCTTCCAATGCAACAGAGCTAAATTGATATGGAAACTTGCTCCTGTGGATTGGGGTGACTATATGAAGGATGCTCAGAGTTTTAAATATTGGTGGTGGTGGTGGATTTCATCCATGAAGAAGACTGAGGTTGCTGAGCAAAGAATTCAATTGTCCACCTACTTGTTGTGGTGGATCTAAAAAACCAGAAATCTGTGGATTTTTAAGCACACTTAGAGGAATGGGGCTGAAGTTGTGAGGGTGGCTAGAGCTGATTGGCAAGAATTCTCTTCTGTCAACTTCAAGAGGCACAAAGTATAGAAAATGGTGATTGCTGGGTCTAGGTCCTTGGGTAAGTGGGCTAGCAGTTATGATTCTTGTACTTCTGGTCTTTTATCTTGTTTTTTTTTCATAGACTTGGTTGTATTTTCTGGTGTTTGCTTGTATTTTGAGCTGGTAGTTGTGTCCTTGCAGGAGTTGATGGTTCTAGTTACTATGTAACTGCCTTTAGCTCAGTGTTAGTGGTTAATGTTGCTTTTATTGTGTATTTAAACCATACTTAGAGTATGGCTCTCCTTGTAGTTAGTTGTGTTATAGAGCTCGTCATCTCTCCGATTGTAAACTCTATTTCGATTGTTTTTTATTAGATTTGTCTATCTTTCCGAAAAAAAAATAAAAAATCGGTACAAATAAAATTTCCTTGCCATGGAACACGTTTTTCATACATCAATGCACTGTCGTCGTCATTCATATTAAATAGTAGGCCAGTTGTAGCCCAATCGAGTGCCGATACTGGGCCAACTTTGTTGTTGGAGTACAAGAGGACCCACTAATAGGTTAAAGATCCGACAATTGTACCTACGAATCTACGACCAATTATAATCACACTTGTTGGAAGTACAGCAGGCTTCATGATTTCCTGCGCGAGTGCCGAAAGTAAATGTTGAATGTCTGATTTATTACATGCAAATAATATAAGTATATATTTTAGCACTATTAAGATACAGAATCACATCACATGGCACCAACCTAAATCAATGTTCACGGTTTAACACATACAGACTACTTTTCCCCTGTTTTCAAAACAGAGTCTATTAAAATAAATATGTGATAACCCAAGAGCGCTTGGATGAGATGACTTGGGTCTCTTCCAGCTTAACCAGTGGTCTTGAGTTCGAGCCCTGGAAATGCAGCAGTGTTAAAACTCTTGAGGGAGAGCTTTGCCGCCCTTGTGGTCCTACCGGCCTCGATTTCAGATTAGTCGGTTCTCCTGTGGATCCGGAAACCGGAAGGTCGCTGTACCAAAACAAAAAAAAATGTGATACATTTAAGCAATTTATTATTCACTCCATAGATTGTCACTTAAACTAATGACATCACGCCCTTGATGAGTACTCACTAGTCAATAGAGGGTAGGGACAATTTTGGAGGGATGAAATATATATACCAAAAGAAATTTAAAGATTTGTGGTTTAAGCCATAATATATAAAAATACTTATGAAGGTGATTGATACCAAACTTAAATTTATGTGTATTGTATTTAGTTCTGAAATTGAAACCGTTAATTAGTCTGGCCGATTCTCGTTTACAGGAACTGAACCTGTTGAACCAGTGGTTTATAATCGTCATGCGATTTAAAAGGCAAAATTACAATTTTAGTCCTGCTATGTATTGAACCTGTTGAATCGGTGGTTTAAAATCGTCATGCGATCTACAAAGTAAAATTGCATTTTTAGTCCTTGATGGTTAACGACGTAACATTTTTAGTTTTAAGCTATTAATTTTTTGCCTTTTGATCCTGTAATTTAGTATTTTACTACAACTTCAGTCATTTGGGACTAAAATAAAAAATTTAAAGTTACAAGACTTAAATTGCTAATAAAAATTTCATCCAAAAATTTTTTTATTAGCAATTTGAGGTCTTTAATTTTAAATTTTGTTGCATATTTTCAGTCCCAAAGGATTGAAATTGCGTTGAATTTTAAAACCATAGGACCAAATAGCTAAAATGTTCGATTCTTAAGCCTAAAAACGCCACCAGATTAGACCTACAAGACTAAAATTGCAATTTTTGCCGATTTAAAATTAGGATTATATCTATACTATTATAAAAGAGCCAATGAATCTGTAAAAATATGATATCCCTAAATTAACCTTACTTTGTCATGTTTATAATGTCAATTTTGTAATTTAATACCCCCAT